AAAAAAAAAAAACCAAAACAAAACCCAAATCTGAATAATCTAGATCTGCCCAAATTGTTCCCAAGCAGCAGTTGTGTGGGTCGCTGCAGAGCAGTGTAACGAGATGCACTGCACACCCTCAGTACACCAGCACATGCTATTGCATGACGTCTGTTTCTAATAAGGCTCACCAGCCCTACTTTTACTTCCACGTCATCTGTTTTGATTCACAGTCTGATTATTTTATGTGGAGTTGCTGTCTGGTGTAGACCTAAGAGGCAGGGAAGGGGTTAAAGTTGCTTGTCCGGAGTGAGCTGCACCTTCCCTGCACACCCCAGTCCTGTTTCTGGGAGGAAGGATGGGGCAGCCATGGTGGTTCGGGTACGTGCCAGCCCTTCCCACCAGCCGGAGCTGCCTCCTGCTTCCCTGCGTGCGGGGCTGGTGTCCAAAGCCGGGGAAGCTCTCACGAGAACAGGGGGAATAATTAGCAACAACTAATTTGTTTGACAAATGCTGCCTCTGTGTTCACAAATTGGCCGTGAAGAGATCACCATATTCTCTGCTTTATTTGTTGTTCAGAGTTATTTGCTGGAGGATGCCTGCCAAGCAATTCCTGGCCTGTGGCTTGTTTGCAAGCTGTTCATTGTGGGTCATTCAAAGCCAAGTCCTTTTGATTAGACACGTGCTAAGGCAGTGCCCGGGCGCTTTACCGTGGCTCTTTGGCTCAGATTTCCGCTGTTGGTGCTTTGAACACCGCATCGAAGTGCCTTTTTGGAAAACATTCTGTAACGCTTTATGAAAAGAGCCTGTTCTGATGAACGTTTCTGCCAGCGAATGCACGTATTGGGCTTGGACAAGCTGCAGATAACGTGTACAGCAGGGGCACGAAGAGTGCCAAATCCAACTGCTTTCAAACAAATCCAGCAACCGCTGGCAGAATATTCCTTTTTAGACCCAGTATAGTGTTGAGCACGTCCAGATTAGGGGTTTCAGCCCCATCTATGAGATTTTTGCAAAGCGTAGTCTCTGAGAGAGAGAATTTAAAAATGACCGAAGGCCCTGGGAGGAAAAATCTCAGTCGCAACGTATTTGAATGAGGTCTGTGCTTCTGAAGCATGAAAGGGCTCTTGAAAGCTGTACACAGGGGCCTCACGTCGGCGCAGAATCTGTGTGCGTGCTTAACGCCGCACTGTGCTGCGGATACTTGTGTGCAAATCCATTTTTACCCCACACACGTACAGGCTGGGAACTGAGTGGGGAGAGCGGTGTCCGCGGGGGCCCCTCGCCAGGAGGGAATATGCCAGAGCCCCGCCGGCTGCGGCCCAGCGTGGCGGGGGCAGCCCCCAC